TCAAGTCGTCACACTCTATGTAGCTCACAAAGCAACAGAAGAGAGTAGAAGAAATGCATAATAGAGATAGTAAACAGAGGTGTGACACAAAGGAATAGTGATAACGAAGAACAATATAGTTTTATTGGGTATTACAATTCACAAGGAGTGGCTGCATCTGCGCCATTGAGAACGATTTTGAGCCATGTCACCAATTGTTTCCAACCATTGGTTTTTACCGTCCCAAGGACCCCAACCAGGAAGTCTACACCTTCCTACGTGGCTGGCTTAAACTAACTGTTGTGGATTTCATTGACTGGTTTCATGTTTTGGTTTGACCACCGCTAGTTAGCTCTTTTCCACCCTGACCCTATGTCCGCTAACATTGCCCGTAGGTCGAGGAAGGCGATGACTAGGTATACGTAATACATGTCCTAACCATCTCAGTCGATGTAACTCCACAACCTCGTCGATTGATTTCCCCTCCCTACCTAGAACTCGACGCCTAACCTCAATATTTCTCACCTTATTATACCACTTCACACGGGAGATAGAACACAGGCACCTATGATCAAAGAAAGCTATCCGGCCTTTTCATGTCTTCCACTCTCAATGGCCGTGTCTCGCTCACAGCCATAAAGGAGGACGGAGCGGACTGATGGGCATTACACCCCCCTTTGGTCGATAGTTGGATATCTCGTCTACGCCAGAGACGGCGTAAACTGGCATATGCGAAACTAGCCTTCTGTATCCGTGCTGAGATTTCGTCAGAAATCAACCCGTTGGCACTGGTTGATGGTACTTCCCAAGTAAGTGAAGCGGTCAACGTGCTTTACCACTTCACTTCCTATTTCTAATCTAGGAGTCAGTGTAATCCAGTCCTGTAACATCATCTTACATTTGGCGGGAGCGAATCGCATGCCAAACATTCATAGATTGCAGCTCAAGGTGTCCAGAAGACTCAGCATTTTGTCAGCATCGAAGGTATTATCTACATAACGTCAATCTTTAGAGCAATTTGATATGACACATTATCCACTCATGTCATATACAGTAGGCGAATAGATTGTAACTAACCGTCAGTTTAATGTCTGTAGAGATAATTGCAGAAAAGGAGTTTTAATGAAATCACTTAAGGTTTTAGCAACCTATTATTAAATGATATATCTACATGTTAAAATATCAGATGTAGTGAAATATAGGTAAAAAATTAGAGGAATAACTTCCAAGGGACTGGTTCGTAGAGGTTTAATTTACTCTCAAGTTTGATTACAGATTGATATCACAGCTGGAGAACCATTTAAAACCAGAGGGTATTTGCTGTCCTCACATTCGATCGCGTGAGTCCCACTAGTCATGGCTTCTCACTAGAACTCTAGGCAACTTCGCCCTTTAGCCAGTTACTAGCAGAGGCCAGTGGGCCACCAGGTGTGGTGTGAGGATAAATAACTAGCCAATGAGATTGACTGGCAATGTCGCCGGAAATAGCAGAAGTTAGAATACATAAGCCACTGCATTTCGGTGCAAGTGGATGAAAGGTCAGAGAGCTCGCCTAGTAATTTGTAGGTCCTGGGATTTGACCCTACCTACGTGGGACAACGGGTGTGTGTACTGCTAGAGAGTCCTATGATTCTCTAACTGATATCAAACCGTGACCAAACTTAAAAGAAGAATAATGTCAAAGAAATACCTTACTGTGTTTATTTTCTGTTTAAAAGTTAAATTCTTCGTCATTACTTTGACCCGAAGGAAAAAAAGCAAACAAACAGATGGGAATGAAGATGTTGAACATACATATAACTAGAGCACTGTAACACAAGATTCCTGGCCAACACCAACAGCAACAACAGACAATAGTCAGCATAAATGGGAGGAGCCTGAAAGAAACAACCTCCTTCACCCACCTACCCACCTACCTGGAGAGCGTCGTTTCAACTACAGGAGGACGGAACTGACGAGGACATCAAAGCCAGAATCGGAAAAGCAAGACAGGCTTTCATTACTCTTACGTCTGTGTGGAGGTCAACAGCCCCACTCACCATCAAAAATAACATCCGAATCTAAAACTCCAATGTAAAGTCAGTCACTGCTACTCACTATACGGATCAGAGACTTGGCCAGCGCGTCATAAACAGCATCTCAAACAAACTACAGACCTTCATCAACAGCTTCCTTCTTCGCTCAATACCACTCAAGATCAGATGGCCGGCCAGAAAAGATCACCAACAGGGATCTCTGGAAATGAGCGAACCAACCCAGTAAGAACCGATTGTGAAACAAATAGTCAGGAAGAAATGGAGATGGATTGGCCATACTCTGAGGAAACAAACCACCGAGTGACATCACTAGACAAGCCATTGCTCGATTGAAACCCGAAAGGGAAGCGGCGAGTTGGTCGTCAGTGCAAGGGTGGGATGACATGGAGGAGGTCATGTGAAGAGGAGATGAAAGCATGTGGGCAGACTTGGAGCGGGGTGAAAAAGTTGGCAGAAAATCGAAGGCAATGGAGATGTTTGGCTGACACCCTATGTTCCTTTAGGAATGAAAGGATATAATAATAATAATAATACTGTAACACGGTGTCAAAATCCCACCGCTACATTATTTTCCAAAAAAATCTACTAAAATAACATTGAGGTAAATCAATCTACAAAAACTCATTTATTTTTCTATTTTTGTAACACAGAATTTTAGGCAACAAAAAGATTTATATATCCATATTCGGAACAAAAACAAAATTTTAAAAATAGCACTAGTGAAAGTGTTTTGACCAAATATCTACCCAAAAAAAAACATGTAAAGGAAGCAGTTATAAAAGTGGAGGAAGTGAGGACTAATGACAGATAAAAATCGATGAACACACGTACATAGACACACACCCACACCCACACACATACATCAAAACAATAACGATTACACTCATGAAAGACACTAGTGATGATCTAGTTTTTTTCATTGCTTGAACTACGTCAAGATTTCCCTGAATAAAATGCTTATCCTCTATTGTATCTTACCCAATTTGAACACTTATTCATAACTGAGATCTTACATATAATAAAATTAAAAAAAAGCGTAAACAAATCAGTCCAGCACTTCCTATCAATTCAATAGGAAAGTTTAACTATCGATTCGTCGTAGTACGTAGTAGTATGCAGCATACAGGAAGTAGATGTAAGGTAAACATGGAAATTTTCAACACACATAATTTTTTATCCTAATAAATCTCACTCTCCCTCTCTCTCTCTGTTTGGCTTTTTTCCCCTTATATCTGAGTCAATACATCTCTCTTAGATTAAGTAGATTGTGAGGTATTGCCCATTAACATTATTATTTCATCCTTTAATTCCTAGAGGAACATAGGGTGTCAGCCGCGCGTCTCCATTGCCTTCGATTTTCTGCCAACTTTTTCACCCCGCTCCAAGTCTGCCCACATGCTTTCATCTCCTCTTCACATGACCTCCTCCATGTCATCCCACCCTTGCACTGACGACCAACTCGCCGCTTCCCTTTCGGGTTTCAATCGAGCAATGGCTTGTCTAGTGATGTCACTCGGTGGTTTGTTTCCTCAGAGTATGGCCAATCCATCTCCATTTCTTCCTGACTATTTGTTTCACAATCGGTTCTTACTGGGTTGGTTCGCTCATTTCCAGAGATCCCTGTTGGTGATCTTTTCTGGCCGGCCATCTGATCTTGAGTGGTATTGAGCGAAGAAGGAAGCTGTTGATGAAGGTCTGTAGTTTGTTTGAGATGCTGTTTATGACGCGCTGGCCAAGTCTCTGATCCGTATAGTGAGTAGCAGTGACTGACTTTACATTGGAGTTTTAGATTCGGATGTTATTTTTGATGGTGAGTGGGGCTGTTGACCTCCACACAGACTTAAGAGTAATGAAAGCCTGTCTTGCTTTCCCGATTCTGGCTTTGACGAGGATATGAAAGCCAGAATGGGAAAAGCAAGACAGGCTTTCATATTAATGAATTTCATTTATGAAGCAAAATATAACTGTGAAACTCATCCAATTAAGCTAAAACTATTCAGTTAATAGACCATTATTATTATTATTGTCAATATTATTACTACTTTGATTAGAAACGCAAACTTCCTGCATTATGGGCATCAAGAAATGCGCCACACACAAATATGTCATACTTATAAACATTCATCCCTAACTGATTTAGTGGGATGTGAATAGCCTGCATGTTATTTCACAGTGAGGCAATATCATCTCTTATTAACTTTACGATTACTTCTTAACAATACTGAACTTAACTGTTACCTGACTAATATTCGTCAATATTTTCATGCGTATATAACATTTATTTAATTTTTCGACATGATACATTTTCGATTATTGCAAAAAATGGATTAAAAATAATGTTTTTTAAATCACAGATATTTATGGATAGTTTAAATAATAGTAATAACAGTACTAACAATAATTTCTAGACAGAAGATTTTCTTAAAAACCAACATCATTCCTTTGCATTCTGAATGGAGTATAGGACTTCAAGCTTTATAAAATTTCAATAGCGGTGGTGTTGGTCTCTCTAACGGGTGGGGCAGCTAACCCCTCATGCTCAACCTTTCTTCACCTCCACACTTACTACCAGTTAGGCAAGATTTACAAGTGCGTGGGGTTGGGAATAGAATCGCGAACTTCTGCATGGTTGGCAAGCATTCTAGCATTAAGCCAATAAGCAGTCCTAAATAAATCATTTGAAGTAGGTGAAGCCTCTTCAACAATAGAAACTGAAAGAAGAAGAAAGTTTGGGATAGTCAGCACATCTATGAAAATAGAATTTAGGTGCAATGCTCACAGCAGTCATAGACCTATAGTGTTGAGTATCTCAAATTATGAAGAAACAACTATGAAGTGTCTGTTTGTTTCCAACAGTTTTCTGTTTAATGAAATTTTTTGACACAATCCACCTACAAACCCCAATGAAATACCCGCAAACTTAACTCATAAGTATTAATTAATTGTTTCTATTTTATTAATATGGTATAACATGGTATAACCTACCTTTGGTTTTGTACCCGCGCGAACATCACTTATCTGTGAGAGTTCAAGCTGCTGACTATCCTATAAGAGCAAAATAATGGAAGGGAAAAATAAAAGTATGAAATTTGTTTACAGAAAATAACAATCTAATAGTGTAAAATACAAGTAGAGAACACACTATCAAGAAGTAGCAACGATGAAAAAAATTAAGTAGATAAATTATTGACCATGCCAGCTACCAATCCCAATTAGTGATTATTTACTGTGTTGGGTTGCTTAAACTCTTCATCATACAGGTTTCTTGTGCCGTGAATAGGTGGTGCATCGATGTAAACACTTCACTTCCCCAGATTCGAATTCTACCCAATTTACTTTAACCTAAGGAATTGTATAGTATGGTAATCCCTCTATATGTCTGTCTGTTTTCAACATAGAACTTTGCACATATGTGTGGCAGTTCAAGTCGCCACACTCCATGTAGCACACCGACCGAAAGCTGCTACCTTGACGTGGTGGTCAGGCTTGAACACCGCAATGACCCAACAAGCTATACTGGCTGAGACTTACGTCTCTTGAGGTCCTACCAGAAGGGTGGTCGGGATAGCGGTTAGACAAAAAGCAGCTACCCAATCCAATACTATGATTCAAACAAATTCACAAAATATCATGCCGGATCGGTCGGGGCCCGGATTAACAACGACCGCGCTTCCTGCTGCCATGTCACAGGGCAGGAGTGATAAATATGCTACTGAGACACACCAAACAATAAAGAACAAACAAAAACAGGCCGCGTGTGACCGGCCTCAAGCAGTTGTCCCCTGGGCTCTGCGGTCACGCAACCGACTTCCACGGTGTGGGCAGCCGGGATGTAACAATCGCCCTCACAATCCGAAATGATAATCCCTCATGGAAATTGGGCAATCATCAACGCCTAATGAATGGAAAATCTGTACCAAGTAACTGGGTTTTAAATAATTTCTTATATCTGATGCCATAGAGGAGAACTTGAAGACAACATAAATATATGGTCTTCAAGCTTTGATATTAAGTCATGCATATTTTATTACCGGCGCAGATAAATCCATCCGTACTCCCTTTACAAAGTATTTTACAACGAAAAGAAGCATAATTTGACAAACTGTTTCCCAAGAATGGAAAAAAAGAGTCCTTTGACTGGAATTGAAACGACATCCTAAAGTCAAGCAGTCACATACTGAATGATCCAATCAACAAACATCATTAATATCTGGGATAATAAATGTTTATAGTTTATGCAGTATGACTGACTTTCTGTTGTGGAGAAAAACAGTGTGACAGTATGATGTGTCAGAGATCCAAACTCAATTTCACATATTAAGCTATATGTCACTACTGCATTAACTCTTTATTCGCATAGAGAAGCCAGAAATGTAACCTAACTACATCGATAGTAGTTGGCTCTTAAAATTTTTTTAGCCTAAATCTATTTTTAATCATTACTCTGTTCTATACATTCTACTGAAAGTTATAAACTTCTATAAAAACCATTAGAAATTTTTTTTGACAAGTAGACTGTCCATGTTTATTTCGTATTCACTCCATAAAAACTATTAAACTAAAATTTGACAGTTATTTGTTTTGCTTTATTTATTTAATAGTAGACTTATTCCTCATGATTATTTAATCTTATGCTTTTAAAAGTGCACAGCTTAAAAGTTATTCTCACATTCTGAAATACACATTTCTTTTTTTCGTCTTTTTCATCTCAACAAAAATAGAAGTTAATTTTGAAATTAAAATAAAAAGAGGGGCTTACATTGTTTTCACTTTGCCAGTATATAAAAAATCCATCTTTATCTACCCGTACAAAACAACTTGGCTCCAAAACTCCTGCTTCCTAAAATAAATTTTTTTTAACAAATATCAAAATATACTGCCTATTTAGAAATAAATTAAAACTACAATCTATTTAAATTTTGTAGAAATGTAGAAATCCTAATAAATAACACAAAATAAATAGGATATATATATATATGAATTGCCTACATTCGCATGAGAACAATGAGACTCCCCCCCCCCAAAAGGATACAAGTGGTCTGAAACCCTACAACGTAATTAAGATGGTATACTCAAAGATAAATGAGATGTGAGTAAAAAGCTTGAAATCGAGGTGGTCATGACTTCGTACTTCTAAAGAGTCTCAAATTAGGACAGACCAGCTGCCCAGTACACCATTTTTTTTCAATAGGTCTCTTAACCGCTGTTAATTCGTGATCCTCAGTAAAATTAATATTTCATCCTTATATATATATATATATATATATATATACAGCAAAACAATAAATTTTTGTCAGTCTTAAAGTTTTTTTATACAACAGTTCTAACAGAATTTCAAAGAAGTATTTGCTCCAAGTGGAAATGGCAACATGACTCAAATGGATATAATCACTATTGACCAAAGTGGATCATTTCAAAACAAGTAAACCCAACTTCGCATAAGTTTAAATTTTAAAAGACCTACTGATTCATTAGGCAATGAGTGACTTTCCCAGTTATTTCAGTTAAAAATCAAAACGCCCTAACATCCATCGAATACGGAAGAATAATGCTTAATACCTTAAATATTGATTACTTATTATCATTACTACAATTGCTATTAAAATTTATAAACTTGGTACACTATGGGCACCAAGAGATGTGCAACACAAAATCCCATATTTTGTGCGAGACAGCTGGGATACTGTCCAAACGCCCAGGCACTGAAACAGGTACTGTTTTTGTCTAGAAACTGAAATGCACTGTTTCTGTGTGTATAAAATCTTGATATATGTGAAGCGTACATTCCACTGGATGGGTATATCTTGACTATGCTCAGAAAAATTAGTGTCAGTTACATGAAACTCATAGTTATTTCGGTCATATATTAAAAGATGACAAGTCTTTTAATCCATTAATCCCAATTAAAATCTATATACATAAATTAATTAGAAGCAATAAAGCTAATTAATTAATTTATTTGAAAGATTTCGCTGTCTCTGCATTCAACTTCTGTTATCCAGAGCAAAGCAAAGCATAAGGAATCTTTCTTTCGCAATTACTATCCTCCCATGAAGTAATTTGAATTGTCTGATTAAACCTATAAAAGTATCACACGTGTAGTGCACTTGTACACCTGGATTTGACAGTCATTATCTTTGCAGTATTCCTTTTTATGCTTATAAAAATTCTCAAAATAAAGAAATTCGTACGATTCTCCAGTAAGTAGTCTTGAATTGCTAAAATAAGCACTTTATTATAGGTATTTGCCAACTTCTACCCATAAACACTAAGCACTAAATAATTTGGACAAAACATGAATATATTTTTATTGGAAAACATGAGCTAGACTATAATGCCATGGGGGAAAGCATACAAATAGCTGTCCAATTTCATGTGTATATTTATCAGAATTCTCAGAGATCAAATGCTTGCTCGTGCGTCTGTGTGTGTATGTTATTATTCAACAACTAAATTGATTTGCCGCTTGTCATGATTCTTGTCCAAACGTAAACCTCCTAATTTAACTCCCAGTTGTCTCCTGATTTCTAAGTAACTGTAGGAAAATGTATTAGAAGTATTTAGGACTAAAAGAAAATAAGAAGCTGATTAGAGAACTCTTTTTATTATAGCTTGACTCCACACAGTAGTTTTGATACAAGTATGGAATTTTCAGCATATGTGATCTCGGTATTTCAAATTTAGCAGGCCGACCATTGATATCGAGTGTGCGTCGGCCAGGGATTGAACCATATGCATGGTCGGCGAGCGTCCTAACCACTGTGCCACCAATGCACAACAAATGATCTTAGCTCAGAGAGCCGGGAAGCGTGAGAACAGAACAGAAGCCAAAGAGAAAAATTTGAATCTGGTTTTGTCATAAGACATTTAGCAAACTTACTCAAACCTATACGAATTATAACTTAATGCCCAGAAATTACGGTAACCGGATGACTTAACAACTCGGAACAACAAGGAGTAAACACATTACTGCCATTGCAGAAGATTTAGAATCATATCACCAACACTTTTCATTTATTGTTCCTAAGTATCCTAAGGACTTCATACAGATAATCCACATTTCCCTCTTAGTCAAAAACTGACTGTCAAGGACTTCACGGATTGGTGTCATGTTTTAGTCTAATCAACCCTAAATTGTTTTCAACCCAATACCTTTTAAGTAGTCGAGGAAGTCAGTGGCTGGTTGTGCGCAACATACATCTTGGGTACCTTAAACGATGGAGATTTACAACTTCATTGATAACCTCCCTCTTCTTATACAACATTTTATGTCGGCCCGCATTATTCCTGATTATATTTCTTCGGATAATACCGGAGAGTAAACAAAAGTAACTGTGGCCAAAATTTTCCAATCTTTTGAAATCTTTCACATTTAGCGGTGACTTTTCGTAGTCGTAGAATAGAACTAGTTAGTGCACAGTACCTATGTCCTTTTATGTACGGCTGGGCATAATCCCAGCACCAAAGAGCATGCAGGTTGTCAGGTTACAAACGAATCTCTCGAATTTAACTCTTCATTTCTTGTACAAACATATGTTACCATCCTGACATCCTTTCAAGGCACACCTATCATATTTTGTTCAAAGAGTAAAGTCGCAACTGTCACCCCTTATCAGTTGGCTCCTTTGTCAATATGATAGTTTTGGATACGGATAAAAGTATTTGCTTACAAAAAAATCATTTAAAGTGACAGATTTATATACAAGTGGTAACTACTGCTTGTAGTAATGCTTAGATTACTGTTGGCTTTGTAAAGATCCTAATTCAGTCAACTAAGATCTAAGGTAATGTCTCCAAAAATTGCCATGATATCTGAAGTCGAACTAGAACCAAAAGAAAAGGAAAACAACACCCACCTCGTCATATCGATCAAAATATTCTCCATTTTGCAAAATTTCTGGAACAGGTCTTTTCCAAATGAACTCAAATGCCTTAGCTGATGGGACGGTTCGTTGACGTTTGGCAATATCTGACGTCATTTATAGGTGCCAGTCACGAATCGTGCACCAGTTTGTGGATTTTCCTGAATCGACAAACGTGGGGAAGCAAGTTGTAAGTGAATAAAACACTGCTGAAAAACCTGACGCTATTAATTTATTTAAAATAAACGGCGAAATTTAGATACTAGAACTTTCTGGAATATAACTAACCATACTTGGTCATTGTAAGTAACCACACGAACAAGAAGTTAAAATGTTTCTCAAAGTTAGATGGACGCTTTAAAAATAAGGATATCCAAATCCGTCAGTTTATCGAAATGAGAATAATGAGAATCACAAAAAGACTTCATTCCAATTTGAGATATTGCATTTCATTATAAAACATTGAATGTAACTGCTAAGTAGACATCATTCATATGATAATAGATACAATTGTGTACTGTTACGCTAAGATTAATAATTTAACCGACTACAGAGTGTATGCATAAATCCTTCAGTACAATACCGAAAACCGGGATTCCAACTAACCACACGTAAGCTAATAGGAAAAGACAAACATATTATAACTTCATACAAAGACCATGGCACAAGTCGCCCATGAAAACGAATATGAGAATTTATAAAATACCAGAAACCTGTGGAAGGTAAAATACAACATACGTTTAGTGTGATCAACTCAAATATAATCAGGATTGTGACAAGATGGTGCTAACCTGAGACACTACTTGTAACAGTAAATTCGACATATGTGGCATCAAAATGGAAATAGACAGACGTGAGGATTATCACGAAATGCGTGACTCATATAACAGCACATAAGTTTTTAAATGTCTAACTCATTAACATGAGCCTAATGTATAGACAGAAAAAAATTATTATAGACTTCGGGCCTACATTCAAATAGGTTTGCTCCTGTAGAAGGTAGTACTGCATAAACATGGACATGAAAAATTAGGTCTAAATTATTTTATTTAAGACTACTATTTGAATTTTAGTCTGCACAAAGTGTCAACCAGAGAAATCTGCCCATATGGGGAACAAATGGCAAAGTTTGCTTCTTCGGTTCCAAAATTATTCATGAACAGAATACTGATGAAGCTACTTGGGCTCAAGAGATTAAATTGACAACTGTGACATTCAAGTGGTACAGTAACATCACCATTGTTATCATTTGATTATAACACCATTCAGAGTTAACCATTTGTTGAGAAATCAATAAGGATGGCAATCAATCAAGCCTAACTTCTATACAGTGCAAACTTTTCACTAAAGAACACATTCCGATTTTCTTGCTATTGTAGCAAAAGCTATACGGTATATGCAACTGATTAGGGAAATTGCATAATTCAGTATACATGTAAAATACACCCCTTAACCCTATCTGATTGTTGCAAAAAGACAGGGGTTTTATTTGACTAATAAAATTTAGATGATTACAATAAATATATAGAAACAGACTCATTGAAATCACGCAGAAATAAAGTGTGGTCAGACACAATGAGTGAATAAATGTTCTAGTCACCATTGCTAGATTGATCATATATATCAGAAATAGTCAATTAAATAAATTCGAAAAGCCTAAATCATGCTAACACATGTTCAGCGCCTGAAACATATAAATGAAAAATATGAACGATAGAGTGGAATTTATGAACATACAGGGAAGGCCTACGAAAGTTTTCAAATGGGGCATTAGGAAATGTAATATACATTTCGCAAAAAATTTTCAAACGAAATAACTTGACGGATACACTAGTCGCATAAAGGTCACAAAGATGAAAAAAGTGTGGAAATTAGATAAATTTTGAGATACTAACTTCGAACGGAGCCCTTTGTTTGACAGATCACGTAACATGACCTCACACAAAAATATCGTCAACTTACATCTGGTTAGAAACAGGCGCCAGAGTACAATGAAAATTTCTGATTTATTTAGCTACGTAAAACACACGATCATTCTTATTCTTGACAATTGCCAAGACTGGTTATTTTTTAACTGATTATTTGATGGTAATTAGGTATTTATTTAGTCGGCTATGAACTGCATATTACATAACTATATTCCAATTCGCGTGTCACATCCTTTAACATCGTGCTGGGACAAATATTCATAATCTTTCTGTCCATTGTTCCAGCCATCCGGAATGTAAACCACCGCAGCATAACGCAGTGGAATTTCAAGTGAAGTTTTTACCTCCAATTTGTTTCAGTGACATATAATAATACTTTATGATTAAATCTAGCACTGCTGTAAATACTTGATTGTCGTTCTCAGCAATATTTGGAAGCGGACGGGAAAGTAAGTAATGTTGAGCTGCCCGTTATATGTAATGATGTGTGTGATGTTAAGCATGATAAGACTGATGTCTGTGTGTCGCCGTCTAGGGATAATAGAAATTTTGAAATTCCTAAATATGAACCTCAGTGTTTCGACGGAAACCCAGCTGACTACCCACAGTTTGTGAAGGAGTTTGCAGTCATGTTGAGTGGTTTTTTATAAAATGATGAAATGAAGTCAATGTATTTATTGAGGTACTGCACTGGTGTTGCTGCAAGAGCTATACAGTGCTGTAAGGTTATGAAGCCCAACGAAGGATAAACTGAGGCAATGCGTATACTGCGTCAAAGATTCGGAAGACTTACGGTGATTGTAAGGAACGTATTCGAGGCTGTTAAAGGTGGTGGTAGTCAATTACAAGATGACTCCAAAGCACTATCTGAGTTTTTGGATAATCTGAAGACTTACAACAATACGTTGATTTCGACGAATCGCATGAGCGCTCCGAACTCAAGTTCCGTCCTAGAGGTGTGCAGAAGAAGAGAGTTACAGTTTCAGAGTCCAGTTCTGACTCCACAAGTTTTCAAGGTAATACTAGTCAGATAAAAGGTCTAAAACATTTAAGGACTTATGAGGAAGAACGCAAACTGTCTACTGCTGTTATTAAAGGGTTTGAAAATGATGGAGTCAATCATACAAACGGAAGTAAAGTGGATATTTGTGACAATGATCATGATAGTGCACATTTGTCTTCGGCTGATCATGATGAGATAAACGGAATGCCTACTACTCCTGAGTTGAACAAAAGTCCTGTACAGTTTGAACGTCAAGTAGAATTAAAGGCAGATGCGGTAGCAGAAGGTATGGATACTTGTGAGACCGTCATTGTAAATGACCAGCATGTAGCCCATCTATTAACAGATGTTAATGCTAAACTGGTATTTATAATAAAAGACAGCAGTAGTAGTAATCTCGCAGTTAGACAACCTTCTAAGGTTCGAACAACAACAGCTTCTGATGCACTGCTGAGTTCATCAACTTCTGTCACCCATTCGTCGTTGGTGTTATCGTCAACAGTGACAGCGATGTCCATGAACTCAAGTAACTTGTGCTATGAATATGCTACTATAGGTGCATTTGAAAAGACCAAAGTCAATGGTCAGTTTAGGGAGGATGAGTCAACTATGTATGGGAGGGTAACTATAAAACTGACTTGCACTAATGAAGGCCTCTCAAGTTTCGAGTTACTACTTGAATGCTATTATCTTTGGTGTAAATTACTCTGTTTCCACGCTTGTTTGGTCAGATACGTCGTATGTTTGTTAGTCATCTACATTACACGATACAATGATATGGGCGTGTTACCGTTCGGAGTTGAGGACATAGATGATAGAAAGAGGTCATCAAATGAACTCTGCGACGGTTTTCCAATCTGGGGCGTCAACCTGAGAAAAGTTGTAGGCGTACCGTGGTAAGTCCTACAGTTCTTCAAGGGTAGTACATCGAAGCGCAGTCCATGGTACTTGATGTGTTATGTTGTATATATGTTCATGTTGTATATACTGAATTGGTATCATCTTTCATCTATCAGTTGGTAATTCTGTTTGTGTCCGGACGACTTCCAACCTGGATCGTCAACCTGAGAAGGAATGTAGGCATACTGCTGTAAGTCCTACAGTTCTTCAAGGGTAGTTCTTCGTGGCAGAATCCACCACATTTGATGTATTAATTGTACGTATGTTTGAGTTAACTAATGCAGTGGGTTCCAATTAATGTAATTGTTGGTTAATCTTGTTTGTGTCTGGACATTCCACAACTTACAATCGACAACCTGAGGAGGGTTGCAGGCGTACTGGTGTAAGTTTTGCAATACTTTAAAGGAATTCCATTGTTTCCTCTGTTTAATGTTTGAACGTTGCCCCAGTCGAATTGATGTCCGTGGTTGTCTGCGTGTGGTGATATGAGGGAGTAGATATCATGTCTTTTCACGGTTAGCTTATGTTCGTGGATACGAAGACGAAGAGGAGGGACGTCTACTGTCAATGCAGTTGAAGATTGAACGATCAATTCATGGTTGTTTGCTCAAAACCAACTTCCCCAATTTTCGCGGAGGCATCAATACGACAGTCATCGTCTCATCGGTCGCTGTTCAGAAAGAAGTCAGCAGTAAACCATCAGAAGTAATATTGTGATTTATTATTGTAATATTTGTTCACAGACCTTAATAGAAATATTTTTTATATGTTGGTGTTACAATAAAGAATTCTCAAGCGGCCAATCGGTGTTTTGGTTTTTCGTCCGTTATTACTAAGCGTTTCTGAAAAACTGCAAGGAACAGCGTGGGCCCGAGCGTAGCAAGAGCTGGGCATTAACGGTTTATGAGACGTGGCTGACAGTTTCTGATGGGAGAAACAGACTCTGGTGGATTCAGACAGTCGGTGACAGTTTGGATAGTCACCGTTCATCTTTCCTGGTGCCGGTCAAGTCTTCTTTGAACAAGCAATATCTGGAACTTTTTTGGAATTGGGTCAAGTTCAACAATGCCTGGGTCAAAGAAGGGACAGAGTGTCTTGGATGCAAACAGGAAAGTAAGTCATTGTGACTTGTCTGTTAATTGTAACGATGTGTCTGATGTTAAGCATGACGTGGTTGATGTTACTGTTTCGCCGTTCAGGGATAATAGGAACATTAAACTCCCTAAATTAGAACCACGATGTTTTGATGGAAACCCGGCTGATTATTTACAATTTGTAAAGGAGTT